CACCAAAACCATTTCTGTCATTTCTGCATATGTTGTAACCTTCAATAAATAGTTCTGTGTCATCAAAAGATGAGTCCAAGTGGGTCTCTGAAATAGCAAGAATGTGTATTTTAAACTCATTTAGCAGTTCAGCAACATCGTTAATTTTATTTCTGAGACTGTTTATATTAATATGTGCTAGGCTTAAACCTTTTCTTGGTAATTAGTATATTATAGTTTTATGTGCCATCATACCTTCAGAGCTGCGCAGAAGATACTTAGGGGTGCAAGTGCAGGAGTGCATAATAAGTTTGTCGTGTCTGAGGTAGTCACCTTTGTCCCGTGTTTCTTTTAACTTTGGGATCAATTCCATTCTTTTTAGCCGCACAGCATCCGTGTAGTCGTCATTGATGAAAATGTTTGTGCCCTTGAGGTTCTTTACTCTTTGCATGACAGCAGCTTTATCCTTGAAGTTTAGAAATTTAACAACCATAGATCTAGGTCTATTTCTAGCAGCATCAGACTTTCCTATGTACACGCTCCATCTCCATGTCTCTTTGTAGTTGTAGTTTTTGCTTGAAAATGTCCTTCACTTTTTCTTCCGAGTCTGTCCAGGATTCGCCATTGGATTCAGGAACTCCATCAATCACAATATTATTTTTTCTTGATTGACTTTCAAGATGTTCTTGTTTTTCACACAAAACTTGTAGACTCTCATAGATCTTTACTAAATCAGTTTCTGTGATTTTTCCATGCTCAAACTGCTTAGCTTGAGTGACCTTAAGTTTTTTGCAGAGTAGAAAGTAGGAGGCAGTGACACCCAGTGATCCTACTGCATGAAACTTTTGCTGCCTTTCCAGGAAGAATAACATTGTAATTAAGTGTATAAATTAATAGAATATTATTTATAAAAGTCGCAATAATGTTTTATAATTTTTTGAGGTTTTATTTTTTTCTTGGCCCGTTTCATGCAACCCATCACAGCAACAAAGAATCTATACCACAAATAGTTATGTATTGCAGGTAAGATATCAATCTATTTTAAGTTTTTATTTATTGTGAACAATTTATAGAGTTTAAGGAAGAACAGAATTAGACATAAATGTACAGCTAATCGCGACTGTCTACTTTTTGCTCAAATAAGATATTTGGGTCACATTTGTGAAGAGCAGTCAAGAAGAATTTTAATTAAACTAAATAATCCCTAATGCGCATAGCCTGCAGTATCCAATTACAATCCAACCAGTGCAAATGACAAAAAAGTGCTGATAATTGGCAGCTCTGTAATCAGAAACGTAGATTTTTAATCATATATCATGAAATTCATGATGAGAAGATTAAGTTGTTCCAAAAAACAAACAAAAAAACCTTTGAGCCTCCTCAATGTAATATTACTGCGCTTTTCCTCTTAACTTTGCTTTGCAGGTAGGTAAACAGCAGTCAGACGTGACGAGTGATGAGTTTATTAGCTTCTACCAGCTGTGGCCATCCCTTGGGTATTATTGGCTGGGGAGCTTCATCTCTATGTGCACAGGATTGTGGAGATGGGGGCTCTAAAGAGGCCACAGGGAACAGAAGGCGGGGAAAAGGAGGGGCGAAGGGGAGGGAATCACAAACTCAGGAGCACCCTGTGAGTACCAAAAGAGCTCCCTGGCAACTAGAGGCAGAATTGACGCTATAAATGGGGCTCCCCAGTTCTTTTGCCATGGAGCAGTCACACAAAGGCAGTGACAGAGGGTGAGAAAGCAGAGGAGGGGTCTGGGGTATGCAGATATCGGAATGCATATAAAGCTTTTGAAGGCTGGACTGAAGACAAATCACTGCTCAACCTTAGCAGGCTTTTTGATTCAAAAAATGTGGATTTAAAATTATTCTTTTTTTTTTTTTTTTCAAATTTCATACCTTCTGTAATGCTGCGACAAAAAATCTCATATTTGTTATAAAGGGACTTGTGTGATAGACCAACACAAAGTAGCATATAATCAGGAATTGAAGTAATATAATGGAACACGGATTTAAATAGTATTAAGAAACAAAAGATTGAAACCTGTGGCATACATTTAGATTTAGCCCTGTGGGTCTATATTTTTAGAATCCCCTTTAGCTACAGTTCTGCAAGTCTTTTGGTTATGGTGTTGGACTAGTATAACACTTCTTTGATGTAAACCATTCCAAAGCAGCTGAGGATGGAATTTTGTGGTCATTGAGCTCCAGGGAGAAGAGCTTTCATCCCAGTCTTAAGATTTGCAACCCTTTAATATCCTCAATCCTCCATTTAACTCCACCCATATTTCCTGCCAAGGCTGTCTTGCTTCCCTTTCTCTACTAAAGAAAAGCATTCTCACACCACAATACTGCTAGAGACAGACAGACAGACAGACAGACAGTCAGTCTTTGTGTGTGTGTTTTCATAGACTGTCTGTTCAGGCTCTTGCCCGCTCCACCAGATTTACAGAAAACTTCATCCACCAAGCTGTCAGGAAGCTGAGCCCTCCTCAAAAAAAAAATCACTCCGGACAAACTGTCTCCTGCACTATTAATACTATATTTATTTACAGTTATTTTGCACTGTTACTGTTACAAATACTATATCTTACATAATTGGTAATTATAATAATAATTTTTCTGCTGCCATTACCATTTGCCTTTTTTTGCACTAGCATAAGTATTGCATATTTTATATTATTGTACATTTTATATTTTATTGTTTAATTGAATGTTTAAATTTTAGTATTAGGAACTGATCTTATCTGTTGTGCCTGTGCACTTTATCGGTTTCACTGCTGGTGAGTGAGAAACGTCCTCTCGAGTCCTTGTATGTCTGGTGAATCTGAAGAATTGACATTAAAGCTGACTTTGACTTTGAAATGTTATAGGCCTACTGCATATTGAGAAAATGTAGATCGGTATTGCGCAACAATCGGGAGATGGGGACCCCCCCAAATATTGACAGGTATTTCGCACACTGCTGCTATAGGCTTAGACTGCTGGAGGACATAGGGACCACTTTTTGCTACGTTCTATTTCTACTCTCCAGACACACCAGCTAATTTATGCGATACCATTGAGCACAGCGTACAGATGTCAACACACCGCACCAGTTGCTTCTGATAACACGAAACAACTATTTATATTTGATAAACATGGTGTAGCACTGGTGAGAGGGATTCGGACATATAAAAGAGTGAAAAAAAAGCAAAGTTACTATGCCCTGGCTTCCTTACATGTTGATCTCCATTGTTCAATTTCCTGATTTCTGTCGCACTAGCGGCAGCATCAAAGCTAACCCAGCGTGATGGTGTCACCAGACATGCAGCAGCGGGGGGACAGAGGCCATGCAGCTTGCCAGAGAGGGTTTAGGCCCAGCTTTTTTTGCAAATGGGAAGGGAGCCAATGGATTAACCATCCATTGGTAGACTCACGCATGTCTGAAAAGCATGCGTTAACCCGCTATTTTGGGTAGGAAAGGGGCTTTACTGTTAATAACTATATGTGCTCTCTTTCATCCTGTGACATAGGAACTGGCTTGGAGGCCATCTGGCTGGCTGTTTCTTTCCTGGACAGGGGCACTTGTGGAGCTAGTTACTTTAAGAGTTACCTTTTGTATCTTTGCATTTTTTTGTATATGCGCTTCTATCTCCTTTAACCCAGTTGGCCTTGGCAGAAGGATCCTCACACTGAGCCTGATTCTGCTGGAGGTTTCTTGCTGTTAAAAGGGAGCTTTTCTCTCCACCATCGCTACATGCATGCTTGCTGAGATGGATTGCAGAGAGTCAGTTTACAGCTTACAATCACCTGATTTTCCTTAGATAGAAATACTTTAAAGAATGCAATTGTGTTTCCTCTCCACTGTTGCTATGTGCATGCTTTGTGTGAGGGAGAGTAAATGAGTCAATGCAATCAGGTGGGTTTCCTTAGATGGAAAACGTTGAACCAATCTGACTTTGTGATCTCAGTGAATTGTCTCTTCGCAGTGGCTTGAGATGACACTTGAGAATTGGTGCTATATAAATAAAACTGAATTGAATATTTGTTTTTATTGTAGACCTGATAAAATCTCACATCTTCACGTCTTCGCAGACAACAAATGCACTTGATGCACTGTAACATTAGATAAACAGATGTTCACAAACTGTTTTCAAATTTTTATTTGGAATAAATTATCAGTCGGGAACATGCACTCACTGTATGTTGGTTTATCATGTGAAATCAAAAGGAAATACGTTAAACTAGAACTTGGGTGTTAGTACGTTTGCACTGCACTGTATAAGACTCAAGTGTCCCTGAAGTGACAACATTCCCACTTACAGACGTGCGGTGGGTTATCTGCAGGGAATCAAGAGGAAACGTGGGCTCCAAGCGGGATGTTTAATATCAGCTTCAAGAGCCTCATTAAGAATTGATCACATTGAGAGCAGAGGTTATAGATTTTTCACTACAGCCTCTTCAGAAAGCACCAGATATGCACACATGCGTGATTTAACACGCGCGCTCTCGCGTTCACCTCCAACCTTTGATGTTAATTACCGCAGCGTCATTCACGATGAGTCAGTAGGTTGCGTTTGTGTGGAACGATGGATTCCGGGGTGAAATGAACGCACCACCGTGGTCCACCGCCCGCAACCCCCATTAAAATTAACAAAGGCGGACACCTTCATCTGTTGTAAAAATATATAAATAAATAAATTTAAAAAAACGGGTCGTTTAGATGATGTTGGGTTTTAAACAAACGAGCTTTTGCTCGCAGATGCTGCAGAGTTTATCTCCAAAAACACGCCCACCTTCTCATCTCACTTTTACGCACATACGCGTAGGCAGCTCGTGCAAACATGCATACAGTCGCACAGGCATGCGCAAATGTGGTGCGCATGTTCCAAAATCAACCCCTTTGTCTCGGTCGCCCCTGAAACAGGAATTCGGCAGAGAAGGGTGCCTGTGTGGACCAGACTGCCTCCTCCCCCCACCACACACACACACACACACACACACACACCATAACTCTCTCTCCTCCCTTAGTAACCCCCCACTGCCATCAACAACACACACACCTCCTCAACCCCTTTGTGTGTATCCATGTGTGCTGAAAGACCAAGTGTCGGATGCTGAGCTGATTTTTCATTATTACTTTTTTTCCCCCAAATAATATGTATATAATTTATTCATCAACAACAAATCCTGTTGGATGTATGGAAAGGTGCATGTGACCCGGAGAGCGCGTGGGAATCTCACTTCTCCATAGCTTGGACCCACATAGAGGAGCCTGTTACCAGCAAGTGCGGCAGAATTGGACTTTTCCACCATCAGCATCCCTGCTCACCTCACCTCATCCCTGCTCGTCTCGTGGCAGACCTCCCTCCTCCTCCCTGTTTCCCTCTCCGTTGTTCCAGAATAGCCCCGGACCCCACAGCCTACCCGCGGAGTCTTTGGATTTCGGGGGTGATGAAGGGAAGCAGTAGGATGGATTAACGGGGACGGCGCAACGGCAAAACTGGAGCAGCACGCGCGACCACGCCGGGGGGGGAGGGGGCGACGGGACTCGGTGAATTCACGGAGCCCCCGGGACAGAGGTGAGTACAGCTATCCGTCCCCCTGCATGCTTTGCAAGGGGAGGCTTCCTCGCTCCACCCAAACGCACGGAGACGAGGAGCAGACAATCAGCACATGGCTTTCACGTTTCTGTGGCCGATGATCTGAGGCAGTCTGCTTCTTTCTGCTGGAGGAGGCGTAGCTGTGAAATGCTCCTGCTTGAATACTGATTAATAAAAAAAAAATAAAATGCATCATGAGCAAATATATCCCTATAACAGAATATGATCAACATGAGAATTCTGCATGTTTCTTATATATCAGGACAAAAATTTTAAAACAGCAGTTCATCATGTTTCTCCTTTTTGGTATTAAGGTGGGTGTCCCCTACTCCACAGAACTCATATTGGGCCCCTTTGGGTCCCTGGGAGAGTAACAGTTCATTTTAAATGCCTCCTACTAAAATTTCTCAATAATTTTTGTATTTAAAACTCAAACATTGGTGTAGCATTTTTTAGCAGAGTATTTTGTGCTAGACAGACAATGAAACAAGGCATGTATGTAAACTGGAAAGAAAAGGGTAATCCTTTAATGTATCTCTGTTGTGAATTAAAGCATTCCATCATAGTTCTATTGTGTCTCTCTCTTGGAAGGTGAATCTCCACCTCAGTCGCAAGCCTTTTCAGCTAACTCCCTATACCTCTAAATAGAGAATGCAGCTCCAACTGAAATGAATTGCTTCGATTGGTAACAAGTAAATAAATTAAGTTTGCCCAATTCATTTTGTTCAAATGGCAACTTAAAAACTAAATAATTAAGTTGGATCAACTTGATTCAATTACTTGTTACCAATTGAAGCAATTCATTTACGTTGCAGCTACATTCTCTTTTTAAAGTAGGCATTGCTTCAGCATGATGCTGCCACCACTGTACCTTTGACTGTGTTTAGGGGGATGTGCGGTGCTCTTAATCCACCACATGGTGACCAACAAGTGTAATTTTGGGTAATCAAAACATTGTCCATGTCTTTTCCACTGTGTTCCTTGATCTTCTTGGTGTTGTTTGTTATTTAATGATCTCTAGGTGTTATTAAAAAATTACAAAAACATATCAGTCAGTTTAACCAGAGGCCCAGCTGTTACACTGATCATTAAAAACAAATCCCTTCAGCTGCTAAGATCTGAATGACGGATTTATGTTGAACAGCAACTTCACTTTCTCAGCTAAGTTACAGTGTTGAATAAATAGCAGGATCCAATGTACAACAAAGAACTGAAAATAAAACTAAGCAAATAAAATAGGCCTAATGTCAGTGACATGAGTGCCTCTGATTTGATGAGATCCTCAGAGTTCATCCGGATTAGATTAGGATAAAACAGGATTTGAAACATTACTCTGTTGTCATCCTGCTGTTTTATTAATGACGCAACAAAATGTGACATTGTTTCTTTAGAATTCGCAACATTTTGTGAAATATATTTAGAAAGAGAAAAAAGGAAATTAGACATAAACATTGTTACCAGTTCAGAATGTAAGCTTTGCTTTAGATGCTTGTATGATGGAAGCAGTTCATAAAGTTCATGGAGAGAATGTGAGGAATCCTGAATGTTTCCTCATTAGCTCAGAAAATCCTGGACAGAAGGCTGGGACACTCTACTAACCCTTTTAGCTCCTCTCACTATCTTCTGCAGAGAACCCCTTTTTCTACCATATTGGACCAAGTTACCATCACATTACCATCGCCTTTGTTGTTTGACTACTTCTCTGCTTACTGATTCATTGCTCCCATGAATGAATCATACTACAAGAAGGTTTTCTCATGTGTGGATTCACAATCATGTTAAGCATGTCTACCGGTAACTATTATAGTACAAATTACAGTGACACCATTGCACATGCCTTCAAAAACCTTTTTTCAGAGTAAATACATTTCCCCATAGATCTAAACTCAAGATCTTGGTATTCCATGCTACGCAGTGCTTAGATAAAGTGCTTAGGAAATGGATAAAAAGAATAGATTATTCTAAACTGTCCCTCCTGTTTAGATTTTAAGTCACAAAATAACATATCCTCACCCTAGGGATGCACGATATAATCGGCCCCCTATCGGTATCGGCCTTAAAACTGAATATCGGACATCGGCCACCCCACCAATATTTAACCCGATATTTGATCAGCTTCTGAGTTTCTAAAGTCTAAAAAAAAAATAAATACTACTTCTTCTTCTTCCTTAAAAACTTCTTTTTTACAGACTTAAAAACTTCTAAAGACGAGGGAAAAAAATTGATACATTAAACTATCACAATATCTTCATATGCTGATATATTGCTATTTAAAAACACCATATCAATCTCTTTTACTAATGAAATATTGCTATATGTCATCGTTATGCTATGAAATCCCCCGAAAATTCACGAAAAGTTGCCATATTTTTATATGTTGATATATTGACGCGGTATCGATCTATTTTACTAACAAAATCTCACAAGAATTTGCAAAATATCACGATAGTTTGTAACAGAACGATGAAATTTCACGAGATTTTGAAAGTAAAATAGATCGATACCGCGTTTTTAAAAATCTATTTGATATCAGCATATGAAAATATATTTGAGTATATTATTTTTCAAAGTGTCAGAAATGGATAACAAAACTGCTATTTTCAATGACTACGCATTTTTGTCCAGCTTTAACATCGGAATCGGTATCAGTTATCGGCTACATGAGTTTTAAAATATCGGCATATCGGATAGCGGCCAAAATCCCAATATCGTGCATCCCTACCTCACCCTTTTCTTTTTAATCTTAGTTCAATAATCTATTGTAATAATTTGTGTTCAAATGGGTCTGATGGTTGGAGCAGCATTCTTTCCTTCAATGATGCTCTCTAGTGACAGTGGGGAACCACTGAGTGACATGTTGGTTAAAGGTCTCTCATTGGTGGTCAGTTTGGTTTAGGTCTAATCATTTTGATGGCCATAGCATGTGACTAATATCATTTTCATGCTTATTAAAACATTTACCAAACGATGGCTGCATTCATCTCAGAGGTCACCACTCCCTTTGGGAAATAAATGCTTCATCAAAGGATGGAGGTGATCACTGGGAACAACTATGTATTGATTTGTAATAGCACTTCCCTCAAGGGGATCAGATCCATCTGCTGATAGAATCTAAAAGAGCCCTTCACCTGGTACACTGAAAAAAAGACTTTAAGGTACTGGAAATATTACCTCGAGTGCAATATTTACTGATAATTGCCTTTATTTAAAAATGACACGTTTTATTTAATGTGTTACTGTAGAATTAATTAATGTAAATCTGTATCCATCAAAGGACAAGTAAATGTAATTCATTTTACCAAATAGTATTAAGAAAACAACTGAAGTAAGTTCCTAACTTAACAGATGCAAGTAAAATGTGATTGGTTTCCATGTTCTCCCCATGTTTACATGCGTTCTCTCTGGCTACTCCAGCTTCCTCCCATGTCGAAAAAGAACATGACTGTTAGGTTAATTGGCTTCTCTTGATCCTCATGATCATATGTTGCATGTCTCTGTGTAAAAATGTAATAGCAAAACAAAAGTACATCTTTTGTTAATAAGAGAAATTTGTTAGTAAAATCTATTTGAATTTGTTTGTTGAATCAACTCTTCTTTGTAAGTAAAGTCATCTTAGTTTTTATTGAGTGAAATTTATGAAGAATTTCGATGAGGAAATAGTTACCTAGCTTTTTCTAAGTAAATAGAAAAAATCTTTTTTTTTTAGGTTGCTTGTCAAACATCAGTGGGGGAAAAGCCTCAGTGTACAAAAAGCTGACGAGTTAAAATCAGCCTGTTTATGTCAGTTAAGTCTATAATATGTGCTGATGCAGCCATGAGTTGTTTCCATCCAACAGGGTGGGGATATAGATGTGACCCAACATGCTGTAGGTTTAAGGTCTAAAAATTGGTTTTGGTTGCTTATACCTCAGATGAAGTCAATTAGGCAGTGAGTGAAATGCATAACCCATAAACTGAAAAAAGAAATGTGTAATATTAGGGTAAATTAATCTAAAATCGTCTTTTTAAACAAAAAACAGCTGACCACTAGGCTGACAGTGTTTTTACCCAAAATCAAAGCATCAAATAAGCTTAAATGTTACAGAAAAGGGCTGGGTGATTTAGCTTAAAAATCTAATCTCAGATTTAAAAAAAAATCACAAGATTTTTTTGATAAAAATGACAAATTACATACTTTACTTTCAAAAACTAGCTTTGATTTAAATAATCCCCTTTAGGAGGTAACCTCAACTTAAAGGACAACACAATTCAAGCTGTGAAAATGCTTGTAAAACAATGTTTCACAACACAAAAATTAAAATATTACAGACAACTTGTCTGCAGCTATAGGGGTATCACACAGTGAACTAATTTATCAGATATGAGAAGATATCTAAGAACAAAACATGACGGACAGATGTCATCCTATGGAAGGCCAAGAAATGTATTGGTGGGGGAAAAAAAGTCTTGATTTTCCCAAAATGAAATATTCATAAACAGATAATTCAAATAATTACCCATCCCTATCACTATGTCATACGAGTTGGCTCCTTACTGGGACAGATTCTGCAGTTTGAAAGCTGAAAGTTGGGTGTTAATTATGTACCTCAGGTTACAATGAAACCAGCGAGAAGCTGTGATCCAAACTTTTAAAATGAATGGCTTCTTTTTAAAGGGTATGGAATGTTTAACAGATGATGTTTGGTGAACCATCTGTCTTTTTAACGGGTAATAGAAATGTCAGGTAATTTACTTGTTCTTGATGTTCTTTCAATTAAAATGTCAAATTCATTATAGTAGAAAAGACCCATTGCAGCATGATGCCACTAGCACCAACTTAATCATAGATTTTTATTTTTATTTTTGGTTGTCAAGCCAGGCCCTCTGCGGTGTTAAAGCAGAGCAGAACACTTCAAAGTCATAGAGAAGTTATTGAACAAAAAAGTTTTAAATTCTGAAAAGTTGTGGTTCAACTGAATCCTGCATTAAGCAAGGCAAAA